TCTCCTCCATATTCGTCCAGTAATCTTGTACTTCCCTTCAGTCTGTAAATTTAGGTAACTCAAGAGATGCGTTTTTTTTTAAAAGGGATTCATGGTCTTAAGCTTCCGAATGTCTCTTATCTTTGGCACTTCATCTGGTTACTCACTTCTGTGAATTTTCTAAACGTTTGAGTCCCAGCACGTTTGCTTTCTTACTATAACATACCAAAACAGTATTTTTATAGTTTTAATTTCCCTTTTCTCAATTTTTCTTTGCTGGTATTAGTCACTAAAACACATTATAATATTTGAGTGAGACCATAACATTAGTTATATAACGATGAGTAATTTTTGTCTATTTTTAATAAGCCGTAATTTACTCTGCCGCTGCAGCAGTTTGCTAATTGATTTTTTTCCCTGTAAATTAACCCTAATTGTGTGTGTAAAATAAAATGTAAATTGAAGACTCTCTGAACTTTTTTAAAACTTTCCTTCAACCTTACTTTGTTTTCCTAATTTTCTAGGCAAGGAAAGTAATGAATTCCTAAAGCATCTCTTGTTTCTAGAACTTAATAATTTTCTTTGAACTGCAATAAATGGTATCTCCTCTTACGTAGGTAAAGAGCAGAAAGGGTGTCTTTTCATATAAGCATTTCTTATGCTTTCTCTTAAGTTAACCATTCCTTTGTCTGTACCATATTTTAGGCTTGTTTTCTGATGCTGTTCTCAAATTGAACTGCGGGAGCAGCAAGAGTCGCTGGAGCCAAAGCACAGATTTCCTTTTATAAATCAATTCAGACAATTTTAGTGGTCTTTCCTTTCTTGCTATGGCCGGTCCAGGTTCATCAGCAAAGACCCTTATTCCAAAACGATAGCCTTAGAAGAGCACATGCTAATTGAAAATTGATAGGGTAAAAAAGGAAATAAGGGTGGCAGCCAGTGGATAAAATGGGATCTCTTTCCTTTCATCCCGATGTAAGATGCACAGGTCATTTCTTTCTATTTTATAATGTCTATGCACAGAACAGACTTTTAAAAAACGTTGGTGATACCTTATTTTTATCTGGTGGACTTCTTGGTACCAACAAAAATGTATTCCAAATTGTCAATGTCTTCCTCTTTCTCCTACAATCATTATTCTCCACCCAATCCCAAGTAAATGGAGGGAGAATACTGGTGGGGGAAACATCAGACAATTCTTCTTGAACTAATTGCCAATCCTACCAGTTTACAAAGATGTTTCTCACTTATGCAGTCTCCTAGCCAACTGCCTAACCTGGTTTGTGGAGATGTTGGAGGAGGGCAGGAGAAAAGAGGAACTTCTGACTTTTCCTCTGTCTTAAGAGAGTACAAAATACTTTTTTCTAGCACCTCCATAAGCAATAGCTGAATTATTGTATTGCACTATGTGTGTGTTTTCCACTGCAGATTACTCTAGCTATGTAAGTTATATACTCCTGTACTTCTCAGAAGCCTTTTTTTTGACATAACGATAGTAATGGAGGCCTGTGGAGAAGCTCTGATTGCGTGGCCATGCAGCTGGATGTATTGACTTGTCTATCCTGTGCTTTCAGACCATATGAAGAAAAAATGCTTCACCTTAAGAGTGGTTGAATAGAGCTAGGCAATCTAAAATAGAGGTTTCCATGTGTAAGGAGGTTGTTAAACTTTTATGTCAGTATGGATGAGTGAAAGACAACTACATGTGGAACGATGGAACAATATAAATGCATCTCTGCGATAGTGACTCCGCTTTGTTGTGTTGAGGATTTCTGATGGGTTGTGGTGGGTATATTTGGTTTCCCCATGGCTTTTAGCTGTACTGCTTTCATGACATTTAGCTTACAAATACAGGAGTGAGGAATCATTGAGGTCGCTTAACTTACTTTCCCATAGTGTGAGTACACAAAGTAAGCATAATTTACATGAAATTACTCTAGAATAGATTAATATGGAAAAGTGCGTGTGTGGGGGGGGTGTTCCCTGCTGGTTTCAGTAAACATAGACACAGCCTCTAATTTAGAAGCCGATCTTCATAATGACTGACTCTGTGGATCACCAGTCAGAGTAATGGGCATGACCTGATGCATGTGGCAGAACAGTTCCTACTGGGGCCATGTGCTCTGTTTATTCAATTATTTTCTTTCATCCTTAAATTAAATATGAGGCACCGTTCCATTTACTGCTTGATTCATTCTGGTTAGTAGGAGGTATATTTAGGGAGTCTGTTACTAGTTCTTACTTTACTGAGGGGAAAGGAGTGTCAATCTGGTGTGGTATTAGTACATGTCATCTTTAAAGAATTCCTCCGAAGGCAGTGCTGCATCCATGGTGGTAGTTATGTTCTGGGTATGCTTTGTACTGAAGGGTTGCATCTAAGCCTGGTGCTTGCTGTGAGAACCCTCAGTTTCAAAGTGGTTTTGTTCAGCCACATGTGTGGCTTGGTGTGAGGGTATGGAAGTCCAGCTCATGGTTCTAATCTTTAACTTGAAAATGTCTGATACTCAAAATGTGTCATCTGTTCTAGGAATTCCTCTTTTGCCTCTCTGTGTTTTACATCACAATTGTGAGGGGAAATTTGACGATTAAGATATTCTAGAATCAAATAACTGGTGTGAGGCTGCAAAGATTTAGTGTTTACTTAAGTTAGAAGTATTGCTTGCTTTTAAAGTTCTTCAGGGTTAAAACCTCTGAATCTCTCCTTGTCGGTACTCTTACAGCTTTGTATGTTACCAACTAGGAGCCCTCAGCTCTATGTTGAAGGCATAGCACAACTACAGAGTAAGAGTATTTTTTGTATGTTTGTGATGTAAGTACAACAGACAACATAGTGGTTTATATAGCTGAAACTTACCGTAGGGAAACAGAATGAGTCAACCTGGGATGCATGTTCTGAGGCTGCTGAATATGGATTTTAGCTTTGTTGATACAATGGCAAAGCATAACTCCAAAGTGGAGTACTTGAAGAATAACAGCGAGGTGGTTTTGTGGACGTTTATAGGAAACTCCCTCTAGTATAAGCAGTAGCATTACCGAAAAGTGTATTCTTACTTGAAAATTATCATAACTAACCTTAAGGCCGCTACTTTACATGAGGTTGTTTATGGCAAGGTAGTATTTCTTAGCTAAAAAAAAGGTGACAGAAGATGTTTATTTTATGTTCTGTGATGCTTTCTGAAATCTCTTGAAAGCTTTTTAAAAAAAAACTAAGTAAAATAATCTCTTTAGCACAGTAAACAGATATTTGCATGATGTGGGTTAAATAAGTTTTACATTCTGATTATGACACAGAAGGCATATTATCGAAACAGACATCATTCTTGCAAAATCTGAAATTCTCATGAAGAACAGAAGTTCTCTAGGAGTCAGCTGTTTTTCCAGTATATTGTTTTCTTGTGAACAAGCATTGTTCTGTAACCCTATTCTGGGACAAAAAAGCTGCAAATCCAAGTCAACTCCAAGTACATCAAGAAGACTTTATTGTTAACATCATACATGCAAAGGAACTTTGTAAACTGATAACCAGGTCCTGTAATAAAAAAAGCAGTCTAGTGAAACCTGGAGCTACTACTATGCCTGTCTGTGAGAACTACAAATTCAATACTTATTCATGCTGATTTTGTGTGGGGTTGGACAACACACTTTTTTTTTTTTTTTTTTTTTGGACAGAAAGCCCGTTTGAGAAGTTGTTGGTGCGGCACAGCAGTTAGCTCTCCTGCCTTGTGCTGTGGAGCTGTACTTTTGAACTGCCTCACTGAAGTGATTCTAGGTAAAAATAAAATTGGCCTTTCAAAAACACTTCCATTTAATCAAGTATTGCACTGATTTGAACAGCAAGGTGGTAAGTGGTGAGAACAGGCGGAGCAGAAGCTCTTTATTCTTTACTTTGGAAGATTTTATGGCATCTGTACCATCTGAGATGCTGCTGACTTGCAGTTGAAAGAGGCAAGAAGTATAGCTCTCTTTATGAATGAGACTCATAATGACACACCAAGAAATTATCATAACTCTTATTTGACCAGAAATGTTGGTAGCAGGTCATAACCATTGCTAGCTAGCTAACACTTCAACACATTGGCATGGTGGTTTATGTTGCATATGTCTTTGTTAGCATCTGTGTGTAATATAGTCACTTACTATGGTTTGCTGCCTCGGGTTTTGTGAGAAAGGCTGATGCTTTATTGTTGTGGGTTAAGTCCAGTAGGCAGCTAAGCATCACACAGCCCCTCGCTTACTTCCCACTCACCCTCAGTGGGATGAGGGAAGAGGAGTGGAAGAGTAAAAGCAAGAAAAATTGGGGTCAAGACAAAAACTGTTTAATAAGTGAAGAAGTGGAAGAAGAGAGAAAGAAAACAAAAGAAGTGATGCAAAGGCAGACGTGCACCACCTCCCACGGGTAGACCAATGCCCAGCCACTTCACAAGCAGTAAGTGGCAAACCTAATTGGAATGTCCTCCCCTCTTTTCCCTTTTTATTGCTGAGTGTGATATATGGTATGGAATATCTCTGGTTAATTTGGGTTATCTGCCTGGTTGTGTCCCCTCCCAACCTCTTGTGCAGCCCTCAGTCTATTTGCTGAGGGGGCAGTGTGACAAACAGAGGAGGCCTCCATGCTGTGCAAACGCTGCTCAGCAATAACTAAAACGTTGGTGTGTTAGGAGTATTGTTTTTGTCACAAATCTGAAACATAGCATCATAGACCTGCTTGCCAGGAAGAAAATTAACTCTATCCCAGCCAGGCCTGTTACATTTACATAGAAAGGTTTACCAGTGCTACTGGTCATCTGAGAAAAGTGAGATTTCATTTTTGTAGCTGTCTGTAGCTAGCAGGTTGAATGTTTTGCTTTCATTTATAAATGTAGCCCTGCTCTTTGGATTTAATGATCAACTTTGCAGTGCATTTTTCTTTTGATTTGACAGAACAACTCGCTGTAGCTGTTTCAGGCTACAGACAGATGGTGAGTCTACCTCCTCTGATTACATCAGACAACGTTTGACTACTGCTTTGCTTTTTAACAACTATGAACAAAACTTACTATGGGCCTATGTGGGAGGCCACTTGGTAAGAATCCTTGTTTGGTCCTTTGCTGTGACAGCTAACAACAGTAATAATTCTCTTTTTAACAGTGTTAACTGACAGAAAGTTGTGTAAGCTATCATTGTACTTCTATTGCCGGGATAAATAAAATCGGGATGTGTTTGAAGCTGATTTCTTCCAGTTGGACTGTCTGCAGCATTAATGTTTCTGATGCTGGTGACACTTCAGTAATAGGCAGGGGAGTTACAGGCATCAGTTTGAAATTGAGGGGATCTTGCATTTGCTACTAGTCTTCATGGGCATTTTTTAATTCATTGCAGTCTCTTACTTGCATTGTATTTTATTCAGTTTTATTTAAGATGGATTTTACCAAGTTGATGACCAAATGCTCTTGTTTTAATTTTCTTGTTACAGGTATTTGTTCCTGCCTTTATACTTAGAGGGAAGGGATGAATTTTGAAGGTTAAAGGAGTGTAGATGCTTTGTGGACCTTGCTAAAGGATCAGAAACAATGCTTGATAGAGGAAACTGCCTTTGGTTTAAGTTAATAAATACGAACACCCATGTAACTTCTCATTTATAACTAATTATAACAACATTAATTTACAAAATTAACTGTTTCGTGTGTGGTAGAGAGGTAGTTGCTATGTGGCTTGTCACCTTTTGTCCTCTTGCAAACATCCCTATTTGAGCTATGGCCGCAGAAAGAGGAACTCATCAACAGCTCACCTGAAAGAAGAGTCCAATTCTTTGAAGACCAGCAGTTCATCCCGGTATCCCCCACTGGCATAAAATCCTAGAGCAGTAGACAGTAAATTTGAGCATACGGGCTGTTTTATCCTGGCACTGTGGTGGTTATTTTTCTTGGATTTTAACCGTGGGTAAGGTGAAAGATGGAAGGTCCTACAGAGCTGTTAGTTTGACATAGAAGAAATATTTCTGAGATGTTGCGTTTACATAGTCTATCCAAATTCAAATGTTTGCATTTGAGTTTTTCAGGATTTTGCAAAGTAGTTTTAGTGCACTCTTTCTCTCTCTCCCCAACTAGTTAAGTTTTTAAAACAGGAGCTCTGAATAACTGCTGTGAGGAAGAGCAGTGCAAACCTTTTAAGATACTTATATACCTATAGGTATATACCTATACCTTAAGATACCTACCTACCTATAGTAAGACTTTATCACGAAGTCTAGCTAATAACCTTTTTAGAACAGCTCTCTTGAATGGAAAAAAGCATGCACCTCTGATTATTAGATTCTTAAGAATCTAATAATCTGTAAACTACTTTGTATTTGGTATTTAATGGATTTCATTCATACTGAATTCTATTACTAATCTTCTGTTTTTGCAACTGAAACATTATGGTTTTTGAATGACAGTACATTATTTCTTTAAAGATAGTGTATTTCTGCAAATAAGACCAGTCGTCTTTAAAAGTGTGGAATGCCAACTGCCAGTTAAAAGGGAAGTAATTTTTAGTATGTCCTTCAGTAAAACCAGTGGAAGGTTATTTACTGTCATGGCAAATGTTCAGTTATGTAAAGTGTCACATTATTTTAGTTTCAGAAAAGAGGCTTTGAAACAGTCTACTGTATATATTGTACTAAAATTGTAAGCAAAATATTGTTCTGTATGCTATAGGGCTAAGTGCTTTTTCAAGCGATTCCGCCCCGAAGATCTCTAAGTAGGTGGACAGCTTGCGTGTGTGATAGAAGCCATGACTTAGGGCAGTCCTTCTCTTGTGATCTGTGAAATGAGTGACGCTAGTTTTATGTTCAACTCCCAGTCCCATGTGAACAGGGATTTTTGTGTCAAATGAGCCAGAATATATATAAGCAAAAAGAATGTATATGAGAATTTTTTAAAACACAGCTCTAGAACACTTTGATTTTTCAGTTGTTTGTCTCTAAGATGGAAATATTCTTGAAGTTATATGGCCTTGAATAGGAACGTCTACCCAAAAATTAAATAGTTAATACAAAATCATCTGAAACTGGATAAGCAAGCATCTTAATCCTTTGAATTTCATTACATACCTGAATATTGTCTTTATACAGTCAGGTTTGCTGCTTAGGCACAGTGAATAAGACTGTATGTATCTGTTCATTTTGTAAGCCTTTATTTAAGCATCACTTCTAGAGACATTAACTATGTTCAGCATATGCGTTGGTATACGTCACATTCGCCAAATAAATTACCTGTCACAGTTGTGGTTGAGATTGGGCAATTGATTCTATTTTTGATAATGAAGTGTATGTAAAAATGCTTTGGTTAATTTTTCAAATGCTCAAATACAAATATTTACTGATTGTACTCTGTTATGACGGCCTTGTTGCCTTGTTAGAGGTCATTCTATAGCTTGAAGAAAAGGAAGACCTTTCTCTAGCTGAATTTATTTAAAGAAAGGCACCCTCAGTGTATTTGAGAGCATTTACAACTGGATGTGTCAACAATTTATAGTGTTAAACTGTGTTTCCCTTCTAGTAATTCCCCTGAAGTGGCAGCTGTATTTAATTTTATGTTTATGACACTGAATTTTCCTTTAAACCCAAATAAGAAACATTTTTTAAAAATTTTGTCCCAATCAAATGCTCAAATTTAGTTTTAGTCATATATGCCATGAGCAATCACACTTCAGAAAAATGTTATAGTAGTTAAACCACATGGTAAGGAATAAGGAAAGTATCCCATTATCTCATAAGAAACAATGTTAATTTTCTTCCAAGAAGAAGACACAACTTGTTGAGTGACGTTACTGATTGATTATGTTCTCACTGCTTTATAATTTTATCTGCCTTTGTCTGTTTAGGGTGGACATAATGTCATGTGTTTCCAGGTTCAGCCACAGAAATCTGGCCACTTTTGAGGATGAAACATGCCCTTGATTTGAATTAGATCAAACTCACCTTTTTTTAAATGAGGGGGAAGGAAATAAAAACAGAACATCTAAAGTCTCCTGCATTTCCTTAAATTGATGACTTTAAATTTTCAATAATGGTGTTAGAGTCACAAAAATGCTATTTACTGCCTCTTAATTTGGTAAAATTCTGAATGTGTTTCATATATGCAGCTGAGAAGTTGTTGTCTGTCAATCTTGTCATGTTTTTGGGGGATCAAAAGACCTGGGGGAGTCTAAAAGTTAGGTGACCACCAAGGCTGGAATCTGGGAAGCCTAAGGAATATCTGCTATAACAGGGCAGGTGTACTGACATGTGGGTTTTCACTGTGCCAAAGGGAATAGAAATGGGGAAGAGATAACTGGTGTATCAGACAGATACATGCTTTGTAAGTAGAATCCAGAAAAACTCCTTCATTAATGTTGTGCTTTCTTAGCCTGGAATGGGTTTGAATTTTCTGCATCTTGTCATTCCTCTGCTGTCAGCAAATATTTGTTGAAGCTCATTAGAAAAATGTTCCATCCCTTTCTGTTTGTCCAGGTATATATAGGATGATGCCTCCTACTGATGGCTTATTAATGATTACTTGAAAGGATTGTATCGTTCTGATGACTTAGAAGGGTGCCAGAGGGCTCCATAATGATTTTTTTTTTCCATTTTGCTTAAAAAAATAACATTATTCTCTAAGCTTTTTAGTTTAATAAAGCTGCAAAGTTCAGCATTAAAACATTGAGAAATGATGTAATGAACGTTGTTTGTTCATTTCATATGCCCATATGCAGTTTTCTAATTGCATATCATTTTCCCCAAGACAGCAGCCTGATTCAGTGCATCGAGTGAGCAATGTTCATTCTTAATGACTGGCTATTAAATATTTTCTTTATTCATTGTGTAGCCTGAGGTTTATTTACTGCATGCTGTTTTCTGAAGACAGAAAACCTAATATCTGAAAGAAAATATCCCAATATCCAACCAGAAAAGTTAATACATTCTCACAAATCTCTGAGGTCATACTGTCCTCATTTTCCTGCAGCTGTACAGGCAAAGGTCAAAAGCGTATATGTACTTCTGTGAGACAGTTTTGAAATGCTTAATACTTCATCTCCAGGAGCATTTAGTTGAATATATCTGGTATTATATAAAACTGTTTCTTAGCTGACTTCAGCAGCTGCTTAAGTACTGATGCTTCTGCAAGGTCTTTATAGCAAACGAGGAACACAGTCCTACCTTTCTCACCATTAGCCCTCCTACCCCTTACTGGAAGTTTCTTGTTGAAGTGATTTGCTCGCTGTTGCTCGGAAGGTTCTTACAGTGGAGTAGTACCTGCTCCTCCATTGCAGCATATACTGTCTTAATCAGATGACTTTTTTTCTTGTGGAGGACTGAAGTACAAGTTCTATTTACTGTATAAGCAGGTTTTGTTGTCAGAAGATGTGTGTACCGTGCACTCGGGGAGGCTGCAGTCTCACAGAAATGAAAAATAATTAGTTATATCACTAAAATCTGTGTAGTATGTGCATACAATGCTGCCAAATTGGGATTGTGTGGCAAAGCTTAATTATGTTATTTTCAACTACTGATTTCTTGACTTAGATACCTTCATTGTATTTTGGGGTTTTACTTGTGCTTAATATACATTCAGTGGAATAACGTACTTAACAAGTGGTCTTACATGATGTGTATGAACTTTTCCAGATTGTACCTCAGATGCAGGCCAGTCATGGAGTGTTCCCCATCCCAGCTGTTTTGGGAAGTTTAGAATGGTGAAAGTGTTGTAGTCTCCTTGCTGAAACTCAGCAGCTGTTGCTCACATAGCGATTGTGCGGATGCGTGCAATCTTGTTGAACCCTGCATTAAGAGATAGTTAAGATTTAGGGAAAAATTGCTTTAACTCTGCCTAAAATATTGTTAAAATAGGATAAGAAGCCATTTCTTGGTTTGTTGAAAGCAGTAGGTGATAAATAGATACTTCCTGTAGGAGGAAATAATGACTGATCTGAATGAGTAGTCTGTAGCAGAGCCAAGCTGGCACAGGGTTTGGCTTGTCAGAGAAGGTGGGTGCTCTGTTGTATTAAGATATTGGTAATTAATCTATGATGAGAGCTGTGTGACACAGTGCTGTGTTAAAAATGTCTTGTTGTTTTCAGCTTAATTGTTTTTGGAGTCAATGTTCCTTATTATTTTGGTCAAGGAATAGGTACTTATGCAGCAGTATCCTTTTATAAAATGTCTCAAGGATATGGCTATTGAGAAACAGATTGGTTATGCGCTGCACAGCAAAAGCTTGCCCTGGGTCCAGAGCTTAAATCAAAGTGCAAAAACATAGTTTTGACTTCTAGTTTGTATTTTGTTTATTAAAAAAAAGGGGGGGGGGGGGGGGAGGGCAAAAAGAGGGAGCTTTTGATGTGTCCAAAACTCTCCTACGTTCAAGTTTGTTTATGATTTAATAATCATACAATCATTGTATATGTGCCACTTTATTCTCTAGTGAAATCCATGTGATTTTCTTCACACTGCTTATGTAGAAGATAATTTTTTTAATCCCATTACATTCTATATATGTCATGGATAGACTTTATCTTGTGTGTAATAAATTTCCATAAAATTTACTGATCGGGTGATTGTGTTAATTTTCTTCCCCTGGCCACCATCATTTATTGGCTCAAAGACAAAAGTTCTTTCCTTAAAGGAGTGAGATGATTGTGTCTACTCATGTTTACTTCCCCTATCGCCATAGAATCATGCAAGAATTGCATGTATTTTTCTTAATTGCACTGTGTCAAGAATTGGTGAAACAGAGCTATTTCATTGTTGTTCGGAAGAAATTGTAGACTTTCATTAGGAGAGAAATTCCTAGGTATTAAAAACAAAGGATGATATTTTCGGAGCTCAATTTTTTTGAATCTAAACAAAAAGATTTAATGTGACACTTTCCTCAGGCTAGCATCTAACTGCACAGAAATTTTTTTTTTTTCTGAAGTTTGTTCATTGAAGTAGTTCCTGCATGATGAGAAGGCTCTGAACTTACTGAACAACACTGTTATTTCCAGACATATCCATGACCGTTAGATTAAGAAGCATTTATTGATTTGTCATTTCTTTCCTCTTCAGGCTGCCAATCACAGAGAGTAATGGAACTGAATATGCTGAAAAATACAGACAAGCAGAAACACAAGAGCTAGATGTAGTTGGAAATGATCAGCTTGTCTATAAACCAGGTAAAAAATAAATACATATATTTGGTTCCTATCCTCCCTGTGATCTTTCCTATCTTCTCCACTAAACAAAACTATGAAATCGTACTGTGTAGTTCTGGTTAGTTTAATGCTGTATGTGCTCTATTAAAAAATAAACAGCTAATTTTCTGGAAACCACAATGCATAATGCTGTTGCATAGATACATGTGCATAAATCTGGTTTATTGTATTGATAAATGTAGATATATGATTGAAATGTATCTGCAAGGAAAGGATACCACTAGTCAGATTCATGTCTTTATTCTATAGTTTTCCTGTTTTCTATCCATGTTATTTCTGTGTATATTTGATTGTTGCTTTATACTGTCTTCAGAGAGAAATTTGGTTGCACTTCTTTCCTAGGAGCTCTGGTAAAAGCAGTATGAGGCTGACTCACTTGTCAGGACAGCTCAGCTTCAAACTCTTACTGTACCTCTTAATTTCCAGATTTGTTAATGTAGCTGATTTCCCAAGAAAAGGACATTTATGTGTTTAGTCTGTTCTGCATGTCATTCTCTGTAATACTTCTTGTATACCTTTGCTGATATACCAAAATGTGAAAAATAGATAAATTTTCTAGAAATTACTGTACTTCAATGCTTCTGCAAGTTATATGACCTCTGGAACTCAGACAGGTGCTGAAGCCGTTTGTTTACTCTATCATCAGCTGAGAGGCAGTAGGTGCAATTGGCCTGTCCAGCATCTGCAGTGCATCTGACCATCTGTCCTAACCACAAAATGCTGTCTCTTGTTCACTTGACATCACATAGAATTTATGGGAGAGGAGGAGGTATTGAAAGGTGAAAATGGGGGAAGAAGCTTTGAATGTTTTGGTTCAGGAATGTAGTGTTCCCTAATTTTTCGTGTGCTTTACTAGTAAAGGAAGGACAGCCATGAGTTGACTAAGCATAAGTTTCTTAGGTGTTTCTTTTAAAGTATAGTGTTATTGGTTAATTCAAGCAAATAATGTAAAATTTAATGTTCTTCAGCTATTAAATTAGAATTCTGTCTAAGGCAGGCTGACAACTTAATTTAGCAGCACGGATGGCCTGCTTAATTTTGAATGGAACTGATGCTAGCAGTGTTCCTCGTGTAAAAGGAACAGGATTATAACTTAAGCTTGTTAGGAAGTATTTCTGCATAGTCTTACTGGTACTTTAAATTATAAGTGCCTGTTTCCTCTTGGTCTGCCCTAAAATGTTCGTCCTTGAAATTCATACTTTCTAATATTTATTCTTGCCTTCCAGTTGTAACTTACTAAATAGCATCTAGTTAAGAAACAACCTTAAAAAAATTACTAAAATATTAGTATGTGCGTACTCTCTTAATCTATTAGATGTTTTCCTCACACACCCCCCCCTACTCCTCTTTGTGTCATGATCTGGGGTCTTGGTTGCTTCAGGAGCTGTTCCGTGCAGCGTTGATGCCTGCCTCCTCTGGTCAGGGCTCTGCTCCCAGCTGTAAGTGATCCAGTGGTGGACTCAGCAGACTGGATAGTGATGGAACTGGAAGATGCCTGCAGCATTCTGAGGCTGAGCTGCCAAATGCCACCTAGATGTAGAATAACACAAAAACTTTAGAAAACCCAGGTTCTTACTGCTATCAACTTTGACTTACAGACAGATTCATTAATATTATATTAGGATAATATAATAAAGCAGCTCAGTGAGTGTGAGGTGTGTAATGTTAACTTTATGGATTACAAATGCGTATGTTGTTAATAAGACTGTTGTTCTCAAATGACAATACGTTCATTATGCAGATTTGGAGAGCTCCAAGACCCATGTGTAACTGTCAGCTATATCAATCTGGAAGTGCGTGTTCCATTTAAGAACATGAAAAATTGTCATAAATGATTGAGGATTTATCTAGACCAGGCCTACCACTCTAGGTGTGTTGAGTACAAACGTAGTCAAGAAATAAGGTGCACAACATGGAAATGAGAAGCTGATTTGCCCTGAAGATTTCAGAGTTGGTACCCCTTCTGTTGCTTCTTTCTTTCTTAATTGCTGTTCTAACTGTAGATGATATCTTCTGTATAAATTGACAGCCTATTTTAAATCTTGCAGAGTTACAGAAGCTCTTGTGGTGTTTGCTTGCTTTTTTTTTTGTTGTACTTTCCAATGTCTTTCAAAAAGAATATGCTTTTACACCATGAGGACAAATAGAAATGTCTAATCTGCTTCTCTGTCAGGAAAACAGATCGTCAGGGAACTGCACTTGGAGTTCTGGCTTCTTTAGAATATGGTTGAAATGCTACTGCTGTGAAAAGGATGTTGAAGTGATTAATTAAAAGCAGAAGAAAATACTTCATCACAACTGTTAGCCAAAACAAGTAGAGCATTAGCAGTTGTTCTACCACGGCCCATCGGACTGGTTTCACAATTGGTACTGGCTGTTTCAGAGTGAGACTTACACATATCTTTGATTCAGTGAAGTCGGAGGACGTTGTGCAGAGGGAAACATTCTAGAGCTATGTGTATAGGACACTTGCCTACTTTAAGCATCCTATGGAAAACAGATTTCTCCCCTCCCCCCCAGGTATTCTAAACTGTATGCACTAAGAGTTTTATGCTTAAGAAAGATTCCAAAACAAAATCCTTAATAAATTCCCCACCTTTTTTTTTCTTTTTTTTTCCTTAAAGGATGCCTATATCATTATTTTCATTCATACAGCTTTGTGGATGGCAGGTTTTTTTCCCTCTTTTATCTTCATTATTTTCACACCATTAAATGGATCTCTTTTGGGGATCTTCTAGGTCCTAGGTGAAGTAATGGCTCACAGAGAAGAAGCAATTTAAACATTGTTTCTGATTAGGTTTCTGAAATACCAAAAAACTTGGAATTCCTTAAATCGTTGGGATTCAGAACAGATGCACGCCAGGAAAATTAATCACAGCACAGATCTTCACCCCAAAACCTTTTATATTCAAAATACGTGCAAGTTGAAGACGATTGCAATGGAGAACAGAAGTCTCGTGAGCAAAGACTAATTACTTGTGGTGTTTTCTTGGGAATTTTAATGTTACCTGTGGGCATCCTTCAGCAGTCAACACTTACAGACACAAACCTGTTAGCCTGTTTTTTTCCCAGTCAGGAAGGATAATCGCTTTGCCCAGGTCCTGGATTAAGCTCTTCAGGGCTCAGTCAGTAACAACTTCTCATGTACTTTGTGTTATGGCTGAAGTAGCACGACTTACTGTGAAGTCCTTATGCTTTGTGGCTCAGTGTAGGATCCTGGTTGTTTCCTGTGGCTTTCCTTTCCCGTGAGCTTGCTTGCTAACTGTAATCACTTCATGGGTTTGTAGCTCAGCAGAAGAATGATCAGTGATGTAGTAAGCATTTTGTTTGACTTGCTTAACTGGTACTTTCAAGTATGGGGTTTTTTTGATGCATATCATTTTAATTTGCTTAGTGGCACATAACCAGGATCCAGATGTATAATCTCTTCTCTCAGAGCTGGTGCATACAAAAACCTAATCTTGTGTGAAAGGATCTCTTCAAATTCCATTCAGGAAACAGGTATCAGAGGGAATACGTGTGCTATATGGGCTACGATAACAGATGTTGGAAAATCACTCTTTCTGTGCGCAGTAGACTGTTTTAGTCGTGTCAGTCAACATATTTCTGCAGAACTTTCATAATAATTGAAAAGGAAGTGAGCAGGCAAATTCATCTTTCCCATAACTGAGTTTTCAGTTTCTTTTTGCACTGAGTCTGAATAGAGAAATTAATATAATTATTTATTCTGGATTTGCATTAATGCTTCTTATACACAGAAATATTTTGTTTATTATAAAAGTGTGGTGAGCCAGCTACATGCTTCCTCAATTTACTATTTTCAGGTAGGAAATGTCATGTGTTCTCTATGTCAGAATCCGAGGTGTGTGTTTGAGCATCAGGTTCTACAATGGTGTGCATCAGTTGGGTTTGTTGTCCCAGTCTTAATAATGTTTTCCAGAAAGTATAAACAATTGAAAAAGTGAAACCTTGTGGCTTTCTTGCTGAAAAGTCTGTAGTCTTGTATCTCCTTTAATCTGTAGATGCCTCTGTATTTGCAGAAGTGATCAGTATTTCTAAAGACCAGTTCTCATTTTGGGATTCATTACATAAACAGATGTTAAAAAACCCAAACAAACAACAGTTGAAGGTAATGTCCACAGCTGAATGGTTATTTAAATGAGTAGAACCATCTTGGAACTGTCATAGGGGTGTATATTCAAGTATTTCTATTCTGCAGCGAGTCTTCATTGTTCAAAAAAACACCTTTCATAAAAAAACAAACAAACAAACAAAAAGTCAAAACCATAATGTCTTCTAAGTTGGTTACCCAAGTTCCTAATCCCAGTTTTGTTTTTTCACTAATGATCATAGAGTGGTTTAGGTTGGAAGGGACATTAAAGATCATCAAGTTCCAACCCCCCTGCCATGGGCAGGGACACCTCCCACTACACCAGGTTGCTCAAAGCCCCATCCAGTCTTGCCTTGAACACTTCCTGGGATGGAGCTTCCACAACTTCTCTGGGCAACCTGAGGTGGTGCCTCACCACCCTCAAAGTGAACAATTTCTTCCTAACATCTGTTCTAAATCTTCCCTCTTCCAGTTTGAAGCCATTCCCCCTCGTCCTATCACTACATGCCCTTCTAAAAAGTCCCTCTCCACCTTTCTTGTAGGCGCCCTTCAGATACGGGAAAGCTAGAGCTTTCTCTTCTTCAGGCTGAACAACCCCAACTCTCTCAGCCTTTCCTCATAGGAGAGGTGCTCCAGCCCTCTGATCATCATCGTGGCCCTCCTCTGGATCCACTCCGTCAAGTCTGGATTTCAGAAAAAGGCTGTATCCTCAGTTTGTTAGAGTGGGCCTTTTGATGGCTGCTTGGGTTACATCAATGTTCATCTGAAGTTGCAAGTTTACTCTGCAGCCCAAGACTGTCCTGTCTGCTCTAGATAGAAGTCTCACAGTTGTCATGGTATTTAGTTCCTCAGGCAAACTCAGTAATGTTTCTTTCAGTTTAAGCACAGAATATGTGTGTTGAAGAGGAAAAAACCCAAACTATACAGGTTTTGGTACTTGCAGCGTCTACTAAATGGTTATATGGCTACCAGTTCTCGAACTCTGCATATTGATGGTGGCTAATATTTAATGACCGTTTACTTTTGGTAGAATTTTTTTCCAAACTTCTGTGCTTAGAAGAAGGTAAGATATTGCTGTCACAGAACTGTCATGAAAAGCAGTATAAAAAAAGGTTATGTTTCATCAATGAAAAAAATGAGATATACAAAATGGATTAAATTGATCTGATTCTTCAGCAGGTACATGAATACTGGTGGTTGTTTATTTGTTTCCGGTTTGTTCTGTTGTATTTTTTAAATAAAGTTCTTAATTGAATTTTAGGTTATTGATTTCTTATTAGTACACTGGGTTTTTACTGAGTTAGGGAAACTTACAATGTGAATCCTACCATTTAAATTTTATTGTCCCTCTCTTTTTATAAGCACTATTATAGAACTGCTTTTCTGTCTTCTGTTGTATACTTCTAACACATTTTTCAAAATTGCAATTTTACATGGAAAACCTGATAGAGGTGGAAAGACTATGGTGCTTTAGCAGGAATATGCTGACACCGGGCTCTTTTCCCTAGCAGCTTGAGATTTCTTCCAGCATTGCTCAAATCATGCAGAGCTACTGATGTCTCAGTAGTGACATGTTTGTGCCAAAGGGAAGCCAGTCAGCCTTTGTACGGTGTTGCTCTGACAGAATGCTATATATGAATTTTGCTGGGGAATATATTTAGAAACTTGACCAAAGGTATTTTAAAGAGGACAGTTAATATTTTCTGGGGATGCTGATATTAAGTTCTGTTTTGTATGTGTTTAGTAGTGCTAAGTAAATAACTGTGCAATGATTACCTATAACTGTTGCATTATGCAGTATCTAGGTAAAGAACCTTTCTTGTTGGAGAGTGTGGCTTCAGGAGAACTCTGATTTTTTTTTTTTTTTTTTAAGTGCTTTATGAAACTGCCTTAATGAACTGTCCAGCTTTTGAGGGTTTGTTTTATTGTGGGAATAACTCATTTTGTATTCCTTGACACCTGAAGACAATTTGGGGGTTGGAGCACATTCAGATAATGGTACAGAGACAGAAGAAGTTGTTCCTTCTGCTTCATTGCTGTGTGAGATTTTTAGTAACCCTTCCAAAGAAAGGAAGCTATAACTGCGTAGTCAGTTACTTAGTTTATAGCCTTTATAGTAAATATTTCCTTTGTAAAAAGAATATGAGATTTCTTTCCCACCGTACTAAGTATTTCTTAAAGTTTTTATTATTTGTATGCAAATAAGTAAGTGAATTTTGCCACAGTACCTGGTGAAACCCATTTGAAATAGAAAGCATTTCCACTTTTGATTTCAATATAGTGGGGTGACTTGCAGAATTGTTGCTTACCAAAGTCTTGTCCTGCCTTTCCCCTTCTACACTTGCCTCCACCACCTGTTCAGTAGCTCTTGTGTTTTTCATGGTCAAACTGACAGCAATCTGCTGAGCTGAAATGCATGGTAGCACTGTAAGATTTTTGTCCTGTATTTCCCAGTGCTAATGGTGACTAACTGCCAAGAGACTGGAGAACATAGCATCACGTTGAAAGATCATCATGCTACTTACCAGACTTGTTTTAAATGTCAAGTCAGAAATGTAGCGTGGTCTTTGTATCACAGTACGGGTGATTTTGTACTGTGGATCCAATAGGCTTTAAGGGAAACAACACATGGGTACATGAATAAGGCGTATTTTTTCAGTATTGTCAAAAAAGTTCTTGGAAACAGGGATAGATTTGGCAGTTGTAATGCAAACTATGCAAAAATACTGGGATTTTTTTATTAAGAGAAAAGCATATAGAATTAGAGAACGGTATACATCCTTGATCTTGACGGTGGCTTATAAGCAGAAACAATGTCTTTCGCAACTGCTGCCAGTAAAACAGCAGGTACATAAACACAGAATCTCTCTTCAATCTATTAATATTAAAAAGTATTAATTCTGTGACTACTTATGTCATTCAAATTTGGTAGAAGTTTGGTTTCCAAATACTGTGATAATATTCTCCTGCTGGTCTTTCCCTTTCTGTATTGAAATAACTTAGTCTTGGTTATTTTTATGCCTAGATACTTCATTGTTTCAGTGTGAATCCGATGATTTGACTTCTATACCAATAACTAACCATAAACGTGTGGATATGCCTATAGCCAAACACAGGGAAGAGGTAATACCATTGCACTTTCTCTTATTATGGAATAAAGCTGAAAATAATGTCGTTTGGTTTTGTTGGTTTTTGTTTTGTATTTTTCTCAGAAGGAAACTTCTGTTCCGGTTTTAAGCATTGTACAAAACTTCTGTTCATTGTACAAAACCATTGTATAAAAATTCTTGGAGGAAGAAACATCGCTGTTATATTTTACATAAATACCTATAAACAGAAAGTATGTAAGCAAGTTCATGCCCATGTTCTTTGATCTTCTAATGTGTTTTAAGAGTCCAGTTATCTACAGATGCCTAGGAGATGATAGAAAGTATAGCACAATGTTTTACAGAGATTTGATATGTGGCCTGGAAGCTATTGGTATTTCAGATCTTTTTGAAATCTGTTTTGAGTTGTTTTGTAGACTTACAAGTTTTCTTGAAAAATTGTTTCAGATAGTGTCTGTGATAGAAAACAATTCAGTTGTGATTGTACAAGGAGCAACTGGCAGTGGTAAGAGTACACAGATTCCACAATATATTTTGGATTATTGCATTCAACAATCTGTCTACTGCAACATTGCTGTTACCCAGCCTCGGAAAATTGGTGCCAGCAGCATTGCCAAGTGGATTAGCAAGGAACGATCATGGACACTAGGTGGATTTGTGGGATACCAGGTATAAGAAAATTTCAAATTTTATTAAAGAAAAATATTAAAAAGTACTGTCTTTCTTGATTACTTTTAAGCATATCTAGCATACTGAAGAAATGTTAGAGAATCTGCTTTTAAAGTGGAATTGCAGGCTTCAGGCTGTCTCCTGTTAAACATTCATAATTAAATGCTTAAGCTTTTAAAGTTGAGCAACTATAAATACTAGTGAGACTACAACAGAAATACTTAATTGTCTGCATTCTGATAATTGGATGCATCTATATTATCATTGAAATTGTTGCAGGAGAATTGTATTTTGTCACTATTTTTAAAATTCCTAAATTAACATACTTGATTTGTTTAGATACTTCTAAACCGTTTTGTCCAGTTCCAGGTCTGAGGGTTTTTTATTTTTAACTGGCATTACAGAGTTGTTTATAGTGTGGGGTCTATAGTGCCAAGCTTCTGCCTCATCTATTATCCCATGTCTGCTTTCTTCTGTTCCACATCATGTGTCTCCACCTTCCATGGTCCTTGCTACTGTACCAGGCCTGTCTATCTCTAGACTACACTAAATTGCTGTCACAGCTAGACCAAGTAAAGCAGAGGTGGAGGCGGACCAAGAAGAGTTCAGAGAGAGCAGGTGTGACATGCCTTAGTCCTGAGGCCTTGCAAACTCAGTACAAAGCTTATAGCCTTTTACTAGTAATAGCAGTACCATATTACAGGGTTACACAGGTACATCAGCTTCATTTTTGCATGAAAAAGATCTTTATTGTCATCCCTACTGAATACTGTTCTTTGTCTAAGTATCAAATCTTAGTGGTTCCTTTTGATGTATCTACAACAAATGCTGTAGTAGGAAAAATTATGCCCCCTCCCCTTTTTTTTTTTTACTGCAGGTTATGCTTTTTTTCAGAAGTAGTTTCTAAAAGTGTTTTATATGACTTGATACCTTGAATTAAAGAGTCATAAAATTGCTAAATTGATTCATTAGGGTAATGAGACTTAAAGACATTAAATAGTGGTGTGCTTCCATACTGTCTTCAGCACAGCGTATGTGGATATGCTGTGCTTGTTTTACAAGTACTTGCGTGAACTGAGCAGAAATAGAAGTAGCAGAACAGTTGAGTGTCTGCTCTAGGCTGTTTTGAAAGCTGAAAGCGAAGAGATGGTCATGGTTCTGTCTATCTGCCTGGGTAGGCAGCACCTGAGATAACTAAAGTTACAGAATTATTTTAGAAATCATAAATACATTGTTTAACATGGGATTATAGAACTTTCCTCTCAAGAATAAGTTGCCTGGTCTTGATGATATCTTAACGTCTTTCCTTGTCTCCTGTCTGGTAAGCAAATTAATGTTTTGGCAAAATCTTATTCTTTCTTAGTGGAAAGATCCATGCATGTACTTTAAAAACCTTTGAAGAATTCTTCTCAGACTATAGCCCCCAGCAAGAAATTTTGCTCCTTTATTTTATAAACTTCTGGGGTTTTTTTGATTTCTCCAAAAGAAATGTTTGCTTCCTGAGTTAACTGATTCTGGGCTTTAGAAACACATTCGTACAGAGGCTTTTACAAGTTTGAATAAATAATTCTCCTGGGTTTACACTGTATTTCATTTTGGAGTTCTTTCAGATGCATAATTCCTGTAAATGCATTAACTATCTGTTCCCGTCTGTATTTTTCTCATTGTGTTAGGTAAGCTTAGAAAACATTTCCACAAAGGAGACAAGATTGCTGTACATGACAACTGGAGTTCTTCTTCAGAAAATAGTTTGTGCCAAAAGCCTGGATGAATTCACACATATTTTCATTGATGAAGTAAGTTGGTGGAATTAAATTTAAAATTCATACTAAGGAAACGTTTTTTTTTGGTCTCTCTTACCATGATGGAGAAAGAAAAATGCAAACATGTACTTGTAAAGATGCTTCCTATAAGTTGCCCCAACTAACAGTTCTTTAAATAGGCTTGTCTTGGTGATCCTTTGAGTAATAAAGTTTAAAACTGAGGGTGTGGGACTGATTTTTGGGAGTGCTTAGATTTTGATATGAACAGCTTGAAATGTTTTCTCAAAACCACTGCCTGGACTTCAAGAACTTTTCTGGCTAGGCCTACAAGGAGGAGGCGGCTAGTGTTTACTCTTTGCTGTTACTTTCTTTAGACAGAGTCTTTATTCTTCAGGGATGCCCTGAAAAATAAAATAGCCCTCTGAAAATTCTGTCTTGTGGATGGATTTATAGTCCACTGGTGCGGATTCATCATTATTGTTGTCACTTCACTAAAAAGCTAAAGAAAATATACTTGTAGGAATTTTTTTTTTTATTTTGTATATTTTTATGTGGTTTTATGCTTATTTTCTGAGGTAAACAGTGTTTGACTGTTAAATATAGTCAGATGTGAAATTGTGCTTTCACAAACCATGAATGTAAATCACATGTAAGGTGTAGAACTAAATCTTGGGATGTAGTGGCACAGAAGAGGATCTTATTTTTTTTTTATGCCGGTTTTCATTTTTATTCTGTTACAGTATTGTAGCAGAGAGTGATTTTGATTTCAGGAGCAGGGAGACAGTACTTGGTATACCGTTAGACCATTACAGCAATTATGAAGCCTGTCAGGCTTGCACTTGAAAAAAATGATTGCACATTGAAAAACTGGAAAAGATTAAGCAAATAGTTAACACTTCTGTGTGAAGAAGCTTTAGAAGTTCATTCAAACAGACAAAAAGAACCAAAAAAACCCACCCCAAATCCTAAAGAATTGTGCCATTTGTCTTTATGGGAAAGATTTGAGACTACTGTAACATATTAGTAGGGTCTTGCAAACCTTAACATTTTTAAGCCTAAGATAAGGAAATGCAGATTTAGATGTAAGATGCAGAAGTCTAACACTAGAAGCTGCTTACATAGAGAAGTGTTAGATTGTTCCTTTATTAGGTATGAAAATTAGTCAATAAAGTTTTGTGGCCCCTGATGCAGAAGATCAGATTTATGCAGAGGTTTGGAAAACCTTGTTTGCTTGGGTGCTGTAATTTGAACTGATGAAATCAGCTTCTACCACTTCTTTCAGCAGCTCCTAGCTTTCAAGGCTGCATGACTGTTTTGCTTCCCCCACCAAAATTCCAGTCCCTCCTCTTCCCTGTATACCACTTTTTTGCCCATGTTTACCTCACAAATTGTGATCTTAACCCAATAGTAACCATTTTTGAACATGTTCTGCTGCTTGTTGCAGGGGGGTTGGGCTAGGTGACTGTTGGGCTAGGTCCCTTCCAACTCAAACTGTTCTATGATTCTATGATTTTAGCAACCAGATGCTCTCCCTTTCATTCTTAATTGCAGGTCTCAGCCCTGTTAGGGTACTGCAGGTGTTTAGAAACATACCTAAGCGAACCTAAGTCTGAAAATCAAGACTTCTCACAGCAAGACCTTGCTGTCAGCCTGAAAACTGCCTTAGCTAAATCTTTTTCTTAATGGGGCAATAATGAATATATCTTCATACTATGTTAGAATATGCTAATTACGTTACAAGGAATGAATGTTGACCTTTGAAGGTTGAGTTCTGGAAAAAGCTGCTGAGCTTGATACAGTTAAACTGTAATAATTTGAGAAAGGGATATGATCATCCTCAATAATGTTGAAAAGAAGTATTTATTGAGCTGTAAGGAGCAGCCAGAAAACTCAGGTGCTAGGATATATGAAGAATTTAGTGGAAAACAATGTTTTAGAGAGCAGTTGTGTATTTCGATCATAGCTAGAAGCCATTGGGAGCAAGGAGAGTCTATTCAATTTGTTTAGCTGTTAAACAAGCTGACGTAGTCCCTGCCTGGATCATTTACCAGTACAATTGACTTACCGAACTTCAGTATCACTTAAGCTGTTATTGTCAACCCTAGTGGAACTAGTGGCTAGAGCCACTAGATTGGTTTCCTAGTTATTACTCTACGATTTTCATTACTTAATAGCATCATATGATTTTCATAAAGGGTGCTGTAGTCATCTGAACACCTGTGTTGGGATTATTTTAAAATGTGATTAACATGCATAATCTTAAAAGGTGTGTTTTCTTGTATGAGAATGTATTGCTCCAAATTGCAAAAATAAAACATGAAGTGGAGTAGCAAAGGAAGAGATTGTCAAAAAGAAGAGCATGAGTTAATGAAAATTAAATTGTGGATAACGTCTTCCAGGTGCATGAGCGCACGGAAGAAATGGATTTCTTGCTCTTGGTGATCCGTAAACTGTTGCGTACAAATTCACAATCTGTAAAGGTAGGTTCAAAGTATATTCTGCTACTTTTTCTTGCAAGAATATATTTTTACAAGTTTTTGATCTACAAAGGGCATGTTTTAAAGAACTTGCCTTAAAATGTGTCATTATTTTTTTACTGAAATATTATTTAGTTTGCCACTCTTCATAAGCAAGCAAGCTAAAGGGCATTCTTTTCCTGCCTGCTGTAATGTGTTCTGAGAGACTTTTTTTTTCTCATGTTAAAATGCGTTAGTTTCTGAAGTCTGCTTACGGCTAAAAAATGCAAGATGGATATTTGACTCGATTTGTGTATTGGGTATTAAGGTAGTGCTTATCCTTGGTTAAATATGTAGCATTAACTCGGAAATCATGAGCTTTTTTTTTTAAAATTGGACAACATATTTGGAAAAATAGCAAAATCCAGAAATGCTGTATTGTAATTTCTGGTAGTAAAACATGGCTGAGATTTTTCTCTGCATGCCAGGAAATTGTGCTTTGTACTAAAGCAGAGTTTGCAGATACTTAGCATGACATATTTAGTTTTTGTTGTTTCAAAGTAATGGACTTTGGAATTGCAAGAAATTAAATACAGGTGATAGATTTAGGCTAACTCGGTGTATTTCTGTGCAGCTATTTGGAACTGCAGAAATTTAGCGAGACTGTTCATGTCCCTTAAGTGCTTCAGTTAATTGGTCAGTTAATGCAAGCTGATGTTTCAAAACAGATGCAACTGGAATCTGTGTTTGCTTTTTTTGTGGCTATTGGAAGGGTATCTGTTCTGTACGATTCACCGCATCAATTCAAACTCAGATAACTTGATCTTTAGGGTTTCAAAGCATGCTCTCACTCTCTGAAAGTGCCCTTCCAGTTGGCATAGGGCATGTCTGTGCACTTCACAACTTTTACTTTTTTCATATTGGCAAGAAGAGGGGTAAATTCACTTGCCTTTAAATTCAGAGACAGTAGCATGAGGCTGTTTAACCTTTATTAGCATTCGGCTCTGCTTACCAAGAGTGCCAAATAATTTGATCATACTCAGTTTGTGAATTGCCCTTGATGCTGACTATCTGGTTGGTGTCAATGGCAGGAATCCCTACAGGTCCTATCATCTTTTCTGTTAAAAAATATTTTTCTTGTATAGATTCCTGGAAGATGCCATCCCCACCCCCCCATGATTCTGATTAAATCTCTCAAAATTGTTACTGGAAAACTTTTATCTCCTTTATATCCTTCTCTGCAGTTGCTTCTTCAGATGAGAGTTTCATATTGTAGGAATCCGAGACAATCTTAAATTTGTGGGTGTGTGTCCCCCCTTGAATTTTTTATCGTGGGGAGAGGCGAACTCTTGATGTTAATTGCTGGGTTTTAGCAGAGTGGAACAAGAATTTCAGTTTGAATCTATACACTAAGCCCAGTGCCTCCTGTTTCATCCCTTTTCAGCCCCTTTGGAAAAACTGTGAAGGAAGGGAGCTTTAATCATGTGGCAAATTCATTTAGAAAATGCAAGATTCTTTTCCCCACTCCCCTGGATTCTTGAAATGAAAGGGTGCAAGGAGGCCTATTTAAGTGAAACAAATATATTTACAGTTCAGGGTGATATGAATATATATGAGGTGTTTGTCTCCTAGTCTGGACATTGCAGACCTCAGAAGTAGCAGGCAATTCAACATTGCATCAACTAACAGCATGGCAAGAGTGGTTCTGACATGGAGGACAAGATCTACCTGTTGTGGTTCACCTACCAACTATGCTGAGTTTTCTGGCAGATGGCTGGTACAAATTATTGCTTTTAGATCACATGACAGACGTTTGATTGACTGTTACGAGGTTGGTCTTGCAGGGATGGGATTGTTGCAAGAAAACCTATGACTGTAAGAATGGTTCTATTGAGTCAGACCGAACAGTGCAATTTCCAGTAGTGACTAGTAACAGCTGCTTAGGTAGGAAAGTAAAACAGGGTAACGATAGTCATATTTCAAGGTTCTAGCAAATCACCATTCAGGGGCATGTGAAGTGAGAAGTTGTTATTGTGCATGGTTTTGGTGTCATGTGGTGGGGCTTTAGACATATCCATGCTGCATAAGTGTTTTTTGGACTGCTTGATCTTGAAGAATTGTCTGCCTCAATTACCGTCTATTCCAATGTGTTCCTCTGCATGTGGGTGATAAATGCTTTAACTTCTACTTTGGGGCTACACCAAACTCCTTTATTCAGTAACGTGATCCTTCAGGCATTCTTAGGAACCTATGGATTTCCTTCCAGTTTGGAAGGACTCCACGCAGATTAGAGAGTGCAAATTACAAAGATTGTCTGGAAGAAGAGGTAATTTAATATTCCTTTCCTGTAACTGCAGTTAGGATAATTTGGATTGGATTTTGTTTCCATAACCTTCAGGCAAGGTTACATTTAGCTTACTTTCCTAGCATAGGTGAGCCACTATCTATTGAGCCATGAGGCAGTTCATGCTGTAGTGGGACAGGTTTCATATATTTGCAGCATTATGTCCTTTCAGATTTCTCATCCTTTTAGGATCATATTAAATGACTTCATGATTTAGTCTGCCTTCTCCATGTATTCCATGTGCCTTCGTATATGCTTTGGAGTTAAGCACAGTGGTACAATGCCCACTTCATTAGCTTGCCTGCCTGTCACTTCATTAGGGGATGCTCCTGTATTTCATTGCATTTTTGTTTTGAGTGTTGATGTCTTTATTTCATTCCTTTTTTTAGTTCATGCAAGGTGTCAGGAAAGCAAAAGAGGACTGACTGTGTTCCAGTTTACAAGTACGGCTTAGAGTGGCTCAGACCTGACAATAAAGAAGCTGAACACCACACAGTTCATTATAACTCCTTGGCTCCTTGTCCTTTTTCAAGTTGAAGCTGTCTAGTTTAGTCCAGCTGGCTGTGCTGAGCAGTGGGACCACATTCCAAATAGGGGGCTGGAGTGTAAATAGCTATATCAACTAAGTTACTTCATTCTTCTCCTTTTCCCCATTCTGCACATATCATTCCGTATAACCAGGGAGAACACAACAAAGCTGTAAATTGAGTTTTTTAATAGTTGAAAGAAAAGGCGTCTTCAGGTAGAAAATGTGATTTCTGTTCTTCTGTTTAGGTGAATAGACGTTAAGAATCTTGGCAGAGTCAGCAAACGGAGTGAGGTGCTTAGTGTGATCCTTGAGAGTATTAAGTTGCATAAATGAATTGAAACTGAGAGAAAACTCACTTGACATATTTCAAAATCATATAGTAACATTTTTAAGGCTGGGTTATAATTACAGTTACTGCTCTTACAGGGGTAAGTCTTGATGGAGTTAAGGGCACTAATATCTAACTGTTCAGTAAAACAGTAGTTGGTGGAGTTAAGGGCACTAATATCTAATCTAACTGTTCAGTAAAACAGTAGTTGAAAATACTTAGTGCACACTTTTTTCTTTTGAGGACCATGTAGAGATCATAAACTTAAGGAAGAGTACTATATGATTTTATGTTGAACTTTGATCACAGGAAAGGGTTTTGGACATTGTCTGCCTTAGGCATCTAACCTGAGCTGTTCTCTTACAGGTGCTTGCCTTTCTCCGTATGCTGCGCAGGGAATCTTAAGCATTTAGCTTTGATTGTCTTAAATGTACCTAGGACACATACCTGTAGTAAACAAATAAGACCATTTGAGCATAAAAAAATAAGTGGAGATTCCAGCGCAGCATGGCATTTTATGTTAAAACTAATGTTTTTACATTTGCTGTGCAATTTTTAACAGGTAATACTGATGTCTGCTTCCATCAACTGTAAAGAATTTGCTGATTACTTTGCACTTCCAGTTCATAACGGTCTGAATCCAGCCTGTGTACTTAAGGTGGAAGGCAAACCTTATGCCATCAAAGAATATTATCTTGATGATTTGAAGCACACTGTTCATTTCAAGGTATTGTAAATATAACTATTTCTTTGGTCATTTTAAGAAAGAAATTGGAATAGTCAATGGAAGCTGTGCAATAAAACTACAAATAACCAATTTGACATTACACTTCTAGCATTAATATGTGATGATAAAACAAGGGTCTCCTTACCAGCAGCCTAGTTTTTCTTTCATGTAACAGAAATTGAATGTTTGGAAGGCTGGGAATTTTAAGTAGTATGTGGCATTTTGTTTGGTAGTTTGCATCTAAGATGAACAATGTAAAAGTCTGTGCTGTTAGGTAACAAAGGCAGAAAGAGTAAGGAAATTAAGAGAGTCATCAGAAAAGGAGCATTTATGATTGGAAGTTTGATGTTACCAAGTTGGCATCTCTATCAGCTGAGGCTCACGTGCTTCCTATTTTTTCTCCTCCCCCCCTCCCTTTTTTTTTTAAGTAGTCCCAGAGCTGTTCTGCAGTAGTTTTGAATATATTTCTGTTGTAGCCACGTAGGCCACCATGGAAAATACATAGTTTTGAGTAATGAAAATATATTAAAATAATATTTACCAAATCCCTGGTGGCCACTTAACAGCCTCTATGGCTGCACTTAAGAATTGCTTCTCTGTTGCCTAAGGAGGGTAGTGATGGCTGACGATTCATTTGCTGTGTCAATCTTTAGCCTATAAACTGCACAGTGTATTTGTTGTACAGCTTCTGACATGCTATAGGCAACAGATAATGAAGGAGTAAAAGTAAGCTTGAATTAATCTGGTATCTGGGGTTTTATAATAGGACTTTGTTTTACAGTTAAAAAACAGCTGTGTAAGAATTTACTTGAGCATCTGAACTCTTTCAGTGTTACAGTCTGAGGCAAAATAAGCAGGTTAAAGCAAAGTAGAACTAACGCATTCAGACTTTAAGTGACAACAACTCTAAAAATAACTGGGGCATGGGTGTAATTACTGGTCAATTTTGATAATTCAGAACACTTATAATGTTAATACAATGAAGAAAACAGGCGATGCACTTAAAAAGTAGCAGTATGTGAACATACTGTTATTCTTTAGGTTTCATCCCTCAATTCTGCAGAAACTAAATTAGAGAAATAAAACAAGCTGGTGTTTTATGGGAAACACAGAAGAAAATAACTGCTTATGCTGTACACAGCGCAGGTATTAGTTATGCCTCAACATGGATGAGCTACAATAAAAGGCTGATAACTGCTGAAGTTTTAGTGCAACTAAAAAAAATAAACTAAATGCATATAGCAGTTGGCCTGTCAGTTTTTATACATTAGTATGGTAGCTCAGATAATATGGAGATTATGTAATATATGACTTTTGTAAAAGATTTTTTGATGATAGATGACAACAAAAAGATAACTAAGAATTTCAGTAAGGAGTCTACTTCAGTCAAGTTGCATTTGTCATAGTTGCACTTCGAGCTAAATGTCAGCTGCCACACCTTTCACCTCAAAGATCATGAACAAAAGGAACTGCTTTCAGTGCTTATGCTTTCTTTTTTTTTCCTCTGTGTCTATGAGCATTTAACTTGGATTTTTTTTTTTTTTTTAAGATTTCATCTGGTTATCATGTGTTGTCCTAGCTATAGCCATTCTGTTGTTTAGTAGGAGGAGAGGAGTATGATTGTTCAAGAAGTTATTTGTGTCTTAGGGCAGCCCAGAAGCACATAAGTGCTCTTGATTTTTTTTTTTTTTTAATATATTTTATTTTTAAATATGTGTGAAAAAAAGAAGAAATTTAATTGGAAAGCAGTGGGGTTTTGGTCTCGCATCTTGTTTTTTATGGAGCTATGTGTGGAGATTTTCTCTGAATACTAATTTTGTTTAAAAAATACTTAAAATTATGGAGTAGTAAGATCTATGTAATGTCGTAATAAAAATGAAAGCAGAGTTTGAGTATTAAGGCAATTAGTGAGTTAATGCTGCCATATGGAAGCAGGGGCACGTCTTTCATCATACTGAGATCAAAATCAGCTGCCTGAGGTACAGGCTTCAGGCTTTAGTTCTAAATATTTTATTTTTGCCTATAAAAGCCTGTAAAATTCACGTAAAAGAATATAGAAGTTAAAAAAAGATTCTTTGCTTTTTAGATAAACAGATATTTTCCTAAGTTTCATCTTGATTTTAAAATTAATAACTAAAATCAGATTACGTAAGTCATAACTCATTGCTTAACCCATTTTGATTGGAATCAGTTTAGTCCTTTGTAACTGTCTTGTTTGCTCACAGAGGTGAACCTTTGTCCTTTCTCAAAAAAGATCTTAAAATAATTGGATGTTCCTGTATAAATACGAAATTCTTTTATGAATCCTGCAGAGCTCTTGGCTCTTGAATCTGTCACTCATTTCTGTAGGTGATGATGTTTTAAAACTATGCTTGAAATTAAAATTTTCTTTAAGCAGTTCTGACTTGGATAATTTGGGAACTCACTGATACCAATTGTGATTTGGAAGATAAATAGAAATGCCAGGCATTATTTTGTCTTCTTCTCTATGCCTGTTTGCAGTAAACCCTTTGATATGGCTAGTTAGACATCTAGATAGATCAAAGATCAAGCATTCCACTTGAATTGCTTCATTTGTGAAAAAGAATAAATATAAGGGGGAAAGAAGGGAGAAACACCCTTCAGTGTAGCACTAGCTTACTATTGCCTAGATATTAGGCCATTTGTAGGTGCTACTGTTTAATTTTTTGGTATAGATTTATAAAAAGTAGTTTATTTTTCTTTTGGTGTAATGGCCTTTGAAAGCACATTGTTCTGGATATTTGAATGGATCATTATTTTGTCATATCAGCACAAGCTAATTTCCCCAAGGAATTAGTGAAACAGAAATTTTGATAAATTCATGAAGGCTGTATCTATAGATTATAAATTTGCCTATAGGCAAATTTAAAGCCAGTTGTGCAAATGCCTACCTATTGCAGTAGTATAGTATTGGAGATACCAAATGCAAATTAATTGTATAGTTAATTCTGTGAGCAGATTTTTTAAATGTAAGTAACTAGGGGGTCTAAATGTTAGTCTTTGGCAGTAGATCTGTGAAATCCCATGTCTCTACTTTTTACCTAAGGCAAAAAAGAGAGTCCCATTTTTGGCTTGCAAATATAAAAACTCCTTCGTATCCCTGGAACTGAAGTCAGAGTCCAGATGAAAGGTAGTGAACTGCTGTCAAAACCTATTCCGATTATGTTGTATTATTTCAGTCAGTTCTGACTGGGCTTTTGGACTTGCTGTTTGTCACATCGTTACCTTTTATTAGGAGTGATGTGACAGCCTTGTCATGTTAAAGAATGCTAAAGGTACAATTGGTAACAAAATTGGAAAGACAAATCTGACAGTTACTTAAGCAGGGGTAGTGTAAAACAAAAATCTTATGTTCAAGCAGCCCAGAAAAGATAAAATCCTTAGCTTATCACATATATCGGGGAAAAAAAAAATGCTCCTTAGCAAAACTACTGGGAATGAGGTCTTTGGTTTCTCATGGACTAATCAAGCTTAATTGGAAAAGCGTTACTATAGTGGGTTAAGAAGTTCTGGGATTGACAGAGTTGTACACCTGAAAAGTCTTCCTGGCTGGTTGATTCAAGTGGGTCAGAGAAGTGGAAAGAGTATTGTCAAGTTCTTACAGATGGCTTCTTTTGATCCTCCAGTCCATCGCCTACCAGAACAACGTAGGATAATTTTGTCGGGGTTTTCAGAAAGGAGTCTTTCTGCAGACAGCGAGGCAACCTCAGGTTGACATGATGTAGTGTTACAGGTTCGCTGTTCTGGTAAGGGTTGGAAAGCTGAGGACTGAGGTTGCAGTAGCAAAAGCTGATCTAAATCATTGTTGCCAAATTAATGTTAGCAGTGCTGCTTTTGTGATTGCATCATGAGCTGCTTCAGAAAGGGAAACTGGTAGAAAAATAACTTCATTTTAATAGTTCCAATTGTTCAATTCTCTATGGTTTTTGTTCTCTGAAACATCTCTACTTGGTTAAATGTGTACAGTTGCAGGCAAAGGGTTTCAGATCAGGTTAAAACTGTCTTGGCACTGAACCTTGAACTTGATGTGGATATGCAGTCCCAGTGCTGGAGCTGAAAAAGGAGCAAGCAAATGGGCGCTTCTCTTTTCTGCTGCCTTTTCTCCCAGAACACCTTGGGAGACTGTGACAGATTAGAGCCAACACTGTTGGGTTTTTGTTTGGGTTTGGTTTTCTTGGTTTTTTTCCTTTTGTTTAGTTGTTGTTTGTTTGTTTGTTTTTAAAGATTAAAGTAACTCTTCTCCTTCCCACCTTCTTATTTACTCTCGGATACGTTTATAGGTAGCAGTAATACCTCTTTCTGGCTTTTTTTTTTTTTTGGTTAGATAAAGTAAGTCTCTTCATTCTTCGCTTCTGTTCAAGTTTCGGCTGGTCCCCTTAAAACTTGGTAGGAATTGCAGATGTATTGTCAGTCCCAATCAGTTTCCCCAGCATCACAAACTGAGTACCTGTTGGCTTCAAGAGTTTTTACTTCAAAGGCTGGGGAGTGTGCTGGCTGAGAACTTTGACAAGACTTGGGTCACTTCAGAGTGAGGGGCGGTTCTGTAGTGTCACTAACACATCACACTCGTACAATGACCTTTCCTGATCCTAGTGTCATGTTTGCCTTTCAGCAGCATTACATTTTAAGATAGCTATTTTCTTATGATCTAAGTAGGTGGTCCAGGTGGTTCTTTATTTTCAAGCAATACACCATCTGCTTGTATCCAAAATTTGTGATCCTCAGATGCATAGGTTTACACATTGTCTTACTGGATTTCATTTCACTTCAGACAATTGAAGGAGCTATTATATGAATGATATTCTTACCAGTACACATATGATGCATTCCAACTTTCAGTATATCTTTCAATTGCTTTTTTTCCTCGCTACTGAAAACTTGAAGAATCTTCACTTGCTTATACGATAACTGAATTGGAATAAATGTGTAATCAAAGCCCTGTGAAATGTGGACAACTGGTAAATACTTTCTGCTGCTTTTACAGGGAAAGGTAGAATACCTAGGTTTTGTGTGTAGAAACCTTTAAATATTTTTCTTGGCCATTCAGCTTCCATTTTCAATTTCTTTCCAGGAGTGGCTTTTTCCTTACACTACATATCCTTGTTAAAAGTCAGTGGCTACAGCTGCATTTTATCTTATGTATTTATCTGTACGTATTTACCAATTACTACTGACTACTGCATTTTTATTGTTATTGTGCAGTCTAGTTCTTATGGAGTATTATGCTTAAAGCACAAATGCTCCATTTTCATTGTCATGTCAATTATAGTGCCATTCTGTAAAAGTAAAAATGAGACGTCCAAGCCTAAATAAAGCTGTATTTGAATGATGAAATGCTCTTGTAGTGTATCAAGCAGCAGGTGAATGTGACTGATAGGCTAAGAGAAATACTTGGCTGAACATAAACATAAAAATGGATGTTTGTTAACTACTGAGAAAATGTAAGATTTCTTAAAGTAAACACACACAACCTGCAGATAAAAAATGTAGAGGCTGATCACTTGAGCCTATTGAACCTGTTGGTTTTCTTGGCAAAATCTTGGATGACTTAAACCATTAGATTTCAGCATAAAAGTGAATAAAGTATTTCAGTTGAGGGTGGAGGAAAGGAAGAGGAAGGAACTTCAAAGGCATAATACAAGGGAGAGAAGTGCAGTTTGACTTTAGGATTTCTAATCAAGTGAAGTATGTGGAGGGCAGATTACACTGTAATATAATTCCAGAAAAGTTAGAGATAGCAGTTAGTCAAGGAAAGAGTTTCCACTAGAATGAGGAGAAACCCTGAGAATGAAAGGTGAGCAATGATCTAAAGCCATTTTCCTTAAAAGGAAAAAAATAAGTAATCGTATAGACCATTTCCAGAGTATTTCTAGTTCATTAAGCATTTTCTTTTTACAATTGAAATGCGATTAAGTTATTGTCTTTGGTCTGAAGACTTGATGGTTTGTGTTTTTAAATATTAAAGCCGAGTTTGTGACAGAATACTAGAAAACAGTGTAGATATCACTCATCAGGGTTATATTGTGTACATCAGAACCATAGGTCTCTGACAGGGTATGACCTAAAACACAAGAGCCATTAAATGCAAAGATAATTTAAATGAGAAAGAGGTACGTGATTTATTTGGCAATCGGGTAGAGAACTGTATTATAGCACCTGTGGGAAGGATTGTGCCTGCCTTATACAAATTTGTCATCTTCTTGTCATCCTGTTCCTATGAGTTGTATTTAGTCTCAGGTGCATAACTCTTCTGGGTAAGGAGTATGTCCTGCAGACGTTAGGGGATGGAGTGTGGGCTAGTGCTTATCTTAAGCAGGTAAATATCAGATGTATTTATTTGGCATTAGAATGGTAGGATGCTTGAAGGAAAATGTCTACTTAGAAGGTAAGGAATGCTCCAGATTAAGTTACTACTTTGTACAGCTTCTGTGCTGGATCATTTTCAATTGAAAAGCACTTGACAAACCAACACACGTATATGAACTACAGTCTTTTAGCCTGTTATACTGTGTTAACGTCAATACTTTCTTCTCCGCATAGCTTCCTTCTCAAAGAATTGAGGAACCAGTGATAGTGAGGGAAATGTATGAAGTAGCAGTGTCTTTGATTCAGTCATTTGATGAGTTGGAGATGAAGAGCAATAGGTAAGATACGGTGCAAGATCCTCAGATCCATAGATTTACACAGTCAGTCATTCTTTGGGGAAATCAGATGCTAATTAACTATAATGCATGGGCTGCTGTTTCTTATGAGTGGTAACTTAATTTTTTATGCATCTTTGCTTTTATGTTACATATTCATGTGATTTCTACTTTGGTTAGTCATACTAAGAGTGCTTGTACGCCTTACTGAATGCCCTGTGTTCTTGAAATACACTTCATGCCCTGGAGTGTAAGTGACCATTCAAGCCAGCCATGTCATATGGAAACTAGATACTTTGCTGTAGACCAAAGCTGAGTATTATTTATATGAAGAATAAAAACAGAAATGCTATTTTGTATTGTAAACTAAAACATACATTAAGCCATGAAAAAAAGAATACAGGTTAGCCATTAATTTTCACTGGCTGTTTAACTTAATGTCTTTCAAATAGCAGAAGGGCTATTACGAACATCCATTGGCGTGAACCTTCCACTGACAATTATACTTTCTGTTCATTATATAGTTTGAGAGTAGAGAGTTTCAAGGTGCATGAAAGCATTTTGTATCAGGAATGATTACTACCAAAAATATGAGTTCTATATTATGTTAAGGTGATTTTAACTTCCTGACTCATAACAGATAATCTTAGAAGGAAACATCTTCAGTTAAAGTCATGAACTGTAGCTCTTGATAATGGTTAAGTTTTTTACATGCTAAGCTTTTGTTAAAGGTGTCTAGTGATATTTCTAGAATACAAGAGTATTACATGTACTTGAGAAATTACAGAATAAGTTTGCATAGAATTCTGTGGTCGTATACTACCTTTTCATTTCAAGATCTTTGGTAATCTAATTTTGATTAATTCATTGGTAAATAAAAATGTTTCTGTTTTGACATATTTTTGAAGACAAAACTAGACCTAATGATCTGGTTCCAGTTTTTATATACTGTGTTTTTCAGAAAGCATAGTTGCAAATAGTGTATTGAATTCCATTTCTTCAAGAAGTTTAAATAATACATGTTACAAATAATGTGCAGTTCTGCTTGTTCTTACAAATAAAATATCGTGGGGTAGTAAAGTAAGCTGACGTTGTAAAAGTAATGAAACTGCATATTTTTGTTAGGGAGGAAAAAACGTTGAGTGCTACATCAGAACGTGGGAGTGTGCTAGTATTTTTACCAGGTGAGTATACGTCTAAATAATTTGCTTTTTCCTTATTTGTCATCTAACAAGCTTTCCTCTGGTGCTTCTTCTAAGCATTTACTAAACATATATTTTGGGGTTTGTTGGTCTAGTTGGTTATTTTTCTTGCAAATCTGTTTAAATATGGCAATAATTGGAAGAGCAGTGAGTCAAAAATTTAAACTTTGTTTTAGAAATGAAGTTACAATAACAAAATTAATTCTACAGTTAATCCACAGAAATTCAGTTGCTTAATTTTTTAATTAGTTAATAAATATTGCATGACTTTCTTAGGATTCTTTTAGAGATGTTTTCTTATCTGCGTATAGTGTAGTCTTTTCCCTGGATTCTATTTAGATTCTTGTCGTTAAAGTTAAAAATCACTTTTTTCTTTATATGTACATTGGTTGGTGTAGCAGGAAGACAGGATGACATAGTATTTAATAATCAGAGAATTGGTTATATATAGTTTTAGTCCTCTTTAAGCAGTAAATCTAGATTATCTTACATTGCCTCTAAAATCGAGCTAAGGGGTTCAAGTACGAATGACCACCAAAACAAAAGCATACAATAATTTTTGTGTAACTAAGCTACAGCCTAGGTTTCCCAAGCATCACAAACCTACCTGGTGCTTCCAGGTATTCTTTTACTTCGTGGACATCAAAGTTGGCTAATTCAAAATTTTGAGAAGACTTGTGCACGTTCTAGTGGAGGGTCGCCTCCAGGAGGAGTCAAGAGCAGCTGTTTCCTTGGGCACAGTGGGGTCTGTCCCTCTCAAGGCCAGGCTGGATGGGGCTTTGAGCAACCTGGTCTAGTGGGAGGTGTCCCTGCCCATGGCGGGGTGGGGGGGTGGGGGGGTGGAACTAGATGATCTTCAATGTCCGTTCCAACGTAAACCATTCTATGATTCTATGATCCTTGCCAGGACTTTCTAACTCTCTGTGAAATCTTTATGAATGTCATTTCTCTGCTCTGTTGAGCTTAGCAGTAGATGTGCTAGCACTAGGACTGGAAACAGCACACCAGTATGAAAATATACTTGCACTTGCAGAGTGGCTTTCAGTGGAGGGTGCTTCCTGCCAGCTAAAAGGCATTAGAGCTGCCTTTGAGTTACCTTCTCTATGAAATCAATGGGTAGAAGGAATTACTTCATCATGTCAACATAGGACCAATTCCAGTTTGCCATTAATGAAGTAGGGAGACCATCTCTGCCTCTGGCTTCTCATACTGGTGTTGACTGGTGTGCTTTCAGATTTCCTCAGGTCTTCTGAGTCTTCATTTCAGGCTGAAATTACTCTTTAGAACTTTCCATTTCCAAATCTTATTTCTTTCACTTTGATATTTATTATTTTCTGTGCTGCTATCCCTGATGGTTTATAACTGCAACTGATAAAATGAAGCTTTATGTCTAAATACATTTGGTAAATTTGTGCAAACCTGTGTAGTGCTTTCTGAATGAGCTGGTACTCAGGTTTGTTTTTTATTGTTGTTGCTCAGTATTTGACCTTGGTCTGTTTTATAACTGGATACTGAAGACTGATCTTGAATACAGGGTTAGCAAACACCTCTTGAAATTTTCTTCACAGATAGTCTTTAAACAGAAAGACGGAGAAAAGGGGAGGAGAGCCCTCAGTTTACAAGAGGGCAGCTGAGATAGAGCTGCGGGTAAAAATAACCTCCACATTAAGACACTGGTTTGAGATGCCTAGATTTTTTGAGTGCTTACAACTTCATAGTGGTTTGCGCATTCCAAATAACACTCCCATTGCTGTTTCAAGCTGAGTAGGCATCAGCAGCCAGAAAGAATAATGCAATGCTGAGGAGTATTGTTGAGTGATTTTTGCCCACTGTCTTTGTGCAACTCAGTGATGGGGCAGAATCCGCTTCCATAGAGCAGCTGCAGCTGTCTTGAGTAGTATGCCATGTTTTCCCTTCCTTTTGTAATTACCTGTCTTGTTTAGTGCTTAATTACTTTTTTTTTTGATGTTACTGAGTCTGATTGTTTACAGATAAATATCCTTCAGTACTCAGATCTTTTTTGGTTCCAGAGCTAGTCTGTCCCTAGGTACTAGGTGATACAAAGTACCATGTTAAACTGTACGGTGATTTTTTTTTTAACATACATGCATAAATATGTTCCCAGTGGGCTGCATTATGTGTGCACAACCAAATTAGTTCTGGCATTTTTTTTGTTTTAGTGCTTGACATGACAACCTTTAATGTTTCTTGAGCATATATATTGATGCATAATTCTTTAGACTTTTTAAAGAACAAATTGGAAAAAGGGGTCAGACTGTGTTGATTGAATCATCACGGAGCTACACCTTCAAGTATATAACGTGCTTCTGCCAGACTCACTGACAGGCTAAATGAAAGCAACAGTAGGTTATCATCCATTTCAGGAACTTGGAGAAGATGAGGATGGCCCGATTTCTCTATGCTTCATGTGCACTTGCTGATGGCAGGAATTGCATAGCTTAAAGCTTTAGGGTTTTCTTTCAAAGGGATTCTGCTGTTACTGTCCTAAGCTTTCATGTGTTCTACTTGTGTCAATCTATGTCTGTTTTGTATTTTCTTTTGCACTTCTCCATACCCCACTCTCCTTATTATCCTGGTATGTTTGCCAAACAGATTTTGTTACTAGTTTCTTTTTCATTCCGTGAGCTGTCTCTCCTGGTGGCAGCCTTTTGTTCTGTAGGCTTCATGATCAATTCTTGTCACTTCCAGAACTGGACAGCAGATAGTGCCTGCTGTGTCTATTCAGTAATTACTAGACTGATTGATAATTATTATTAATATTGGTTATGCAGAATCTGCTTCTACCAATCATGGATCAAACTTCTTTTAATTGTTTTTAAACATAAATTGGGTTCAAGCCTTGGTATCTTACTCAGATATGTAACCAGGCAGCATGGCAAGTAGGAAGCAGTAGACAACGAGGTAGTTGAGCAATAGCTAGTGGGATCCAGTAGGTCTGGCAGGCTGTGTGCAAACAGACCATATCATGTTGTTCTTTTGTTTTCTCTGTATCTTTAATAACATGCTCTAGTTTATGAAGAGGCACATTTTTTTCTGTATTACAATAATCTTTAAAAGTGGTACTGTTTTTACATTTCCTAGTATGCATGTTTTTCTCTACATTGCTGAAGTTGTTTTGCTTAGAGCTTTGTTAATTGCTTCATTATTGTGCTAGTCATTAGTTTGTTGTTTGGTCAGTTATTTGCGTTCTCAAGTACTCTTAGTTCATTGGAGCTGTGATGTAAGTTAGGCTTCCACCGCTGTCTTTTTTAAGTCCTAATGACATTGCTTTCCCCTGTAGTTAGCCTCACTAAAAGGAGGTCTCTGAAATTTAAATTTTCCTGAGTGCCCCCACCACTACCACCATTTTTTTTCCTCCTCCAACTCACCTGTCCTCTCCCCAGCCCTGACATCTTTTATCTCCCTTACCTATAGTCTCAGTCTTTCTGACTTCAGTAGTTGACTAATCTCCATGGTCTTCTGCAGTTTCTTTTCCCAGCCAGCCTTGTGTTAGGACCGTGTTGGTTTCTTGTTGAATCTGTTTCTCCTTTTCTTGCCCCAGTTTCTTGCTTTCTGGCCTTTTTTTCCCTTGCTTACAGAATCACAGAATTTTTAGAGTTGGAAGGGACCTCTAGAGATCATCTAGTCCAACTCCCCTGCTAAAGCAGGATTGCCCAGAGCACATTACTCAGGACTGCATCCAGGCAGGTTTTGAAAATCTCCAGAGAAGGGGTCTCCACAACCTCCCTGGGCAGCCTGTGTCAGTGCTCTGTCACCCGAACTGTAAAGAAGTTTTTCCAAGCTTTTTCTTGCTTTCTGGCCTTTTTTTCCTTGCTTACCTTAACTTGATCACAATTTCCAGCCCATCACATATTCTTCTTTCCTCTCATTTCTGATTTAAGATATTCTTATCTTTCCTGAAATTATCTCTCTCCTTTCCTTCTCACTTATGAAGTCAAGGAACAGTCATCTAAAGAGTGCAAGAACTTCAACATCCAGGTGCTTAAACTGCATTTAGCCTCACTGAAAATTACAGCCATCCTGTATTGCAGTTACAGAATAATTTTTAATATCCAGCCAGGGAAGCTCAGTGTTGGACAGTTTTTTGAAAATGAGGCTTTTGGAATTGAAGTCTCAATAACAAGCAAACTAGGCTTCTGAGAAAGGTTTCTGCCTGTAGAGGTACTTGGGAAGACAGCAAAAATTCTGTAGTCATAAGATTTCTCATGGCAGACGTGAAATCCATGCCCCAGAGAATGGGCACTGAAACTGCTAAAGGTAAGATGGCTAAGGCAGAAATAGGGGGTTTGTGGTGTGTGTTTTTTTTTTTTTTTTTTTTTTTCCTTGGCTCTGCTCTTGGAAACAGCTTGTTTTGGATGAAATGCTCAAATTTATCCTAAACCAGACATTCAGCGTGCGGTGAATGTTGTCAGTTGTAAGGAACTGAAACAAGGGCTAATAATTGGACACTGGCAGATGGACTTTATATCTGATGCTGCCATTTTACTTTAGTAAGTGTAAAATTATGCAAAATGACTTGAAAAATTGACTCTGTGTTTCAGTGACTCATTATTACACTTACTGTTTAACTCTTCTGTTGTTTTATTATCCAGTGAAAAGGAGGTAATAATGAAAGTCAGTTGAGAATTTAAGTAGATGTGAGGATTGATTTTAGAATTGTTAGTAATAGCTAAAAAGAAAACAAACTCTTGCTTACTTTTTCTCTAGGTTTGAGTGAAATAAGCTACATGCACTCCTGTCTCTCAAATATGTTTAACAAAAGGTAAGTTAGACCACATTTGTTTCAGTTCAATTAAACTTGAACATGAATCCTTCAGCTGTATGAGTTCTAAGTGTGTAATATGATTTAACACAGAGGTGTAGTTAATTTATATTCTTGCATCAGTAAACATTTCACTAATATCTTTTCTTCAGGTGGCAAGTGTACCCACTTCACTCATGTGTGACGTTAGAGGAACAAAGTAATGTGTTTTTGACTACAGTTCCTGGCTACAGAAAAGTAAATATTGTTGAATCATTAATTTGTGCGTGAAACCTTTTGCCAACTCAGATTGTTTTGTGAGGGCAAAGCAGTTTTGTTTTTTCAAGATGTAAACTAATTGCTTTTCTTACCAAGCTGTTGCTTTAATTGGTGTTTAGACCTCAAGAAAAATGCAATAACAGGAAGTTATCCTTAAATTATTGTGTGACACTGGTTTTATCCTTCAGAATAGTTTGTGCATGTCAGTTCTTCCACCTGCATAGCAGTGGCATGCTGCTGGTGGCACTGCTTAGCAAAGTAGCCCTCTACTGTGGGGATCTCTCACTTGCTTTGTACCCCCCATTTTGGCTAGCATCTTGGTTTTCTTTATCACTGCTAATAGTGTGATGTTGTGTTATGACAAAGGCATAAGGAAATATTTCTGTTCTTCCTCTGTATTGTCATATGCTGTAGTACTTTATTATGCTTTTCTAATCTTAGGACAAGAAAATACAAGTTTTCTTGTGTTGTACGGCTTCTTTTAATATGCAGAGCATACATACTACGTTGCCATTACATTTCTATTTCTTCATAGAAAGTTGTATTTTTCATGTGGAAATGTTAATGTGAATAATTTTTTCTTTATGCATTTGTTACTCATTTTTTGCTTCTAAACTCAGGTTATTCTGTCTACAAACATAGCTGAGAGCTCTGTAACAGTTCCTGATGTGAAGTATGGTAAGTTTTCTAAATCTCATATTTGTGTATACACTGTATTCGTAATGTTTTCCTTACTTGTGCTAGCCTAAATCTCTGCAACATGTCACTGTTTTACAAGGCATTGCTGTTGGAGTTTAATTCTGACAGTGGTTGAATTCTTTCTTTCACAGTAGAGAACAGTTTTAAATCTGAATATATGAACAAATAGTAGAGCTACTGAGTGGGATGTTGGTTTTAATCTTTACAGGGGGTGAGGGGGGAATAATTTTAAATGCAGTAACAAGCAGAATCAGACCTCATGTCAGAAGTAGCTTAAGCTTTTTATTCACATTCTGACTGTATTTTGAAATAATTGCATCAGATTAAGCAAATTCTAATATAGAATGTCTAAAGGCAGCAATTACTGCCTTCTAATGCTTGTCATCTGCACTATTTATTATATTTATTTGCAGTTCTGTTAGTATTCAGAGTATCCTGGGTCTGATTGTTTACAAATCTAGTGTTTTCTTTATTGGTTTTCAAGTAATTGAAACTTTCCTTTTCTGATAAAACAAAAGCAACCTGTATTTTTTCCACTGCCATGAAGATAAGTTTTTTTGTAATAATACTAGATTTTTTTTTTTTTCTTAATTGCAGTGATAGATTTCTGCTTAACTAGAATTTTGGTTTGTGATGAGGAAACTAATTACCAAAGTTTGAGACTTTGCTGGGCATCTAAAACAAACTGTAATCAAAGAAAAGGTAAGATGACAGTAGGTAATGGAAAGGAATTTTAGAAGCTCACCTTCATGGAGAATTTTACATTGCTTTTCATTTTATTAACAGTAAGAATCACAGAATGGTCAGGGTCGGAAGGGACCTCTGTCAGACATAGGGGAAACTTCTAGCAGCTTCTCATAGAAGCCACCCCTCTAGCCTCCCCACCCCCGTACCCCCCTCTACCAAAACCTTGCCATGCAAACCCAATACACAGCTTTATTTCCCTTTGGTTCTGGGTCAGTGTAGGTTATGACAACCAGCCAATATACAACCAGTAGAAGCAGCGTTTTATATAGCAGACTTGGGCTTGTTATGCACGAAACCTAAAAATATGGCCTAATTCTGCAGTGGAGTATCCCACTGAGTGGAATACCCTTTAGTTTGTTGAAGTGAATGGTGTTTAGATTTGTGAAGATAGACTTTCTGTTTTGCTGTTCATCATGGCATCTTAAAAGTTGTTTGTGTAGAAGATTTTTTGCTAGCTATAGAGTCAAAGAGGAAATCCGAGTATGCTTGTTCTGTAAAGAAATACAAATGGAAAGCATATTTACTCTGCATATACAATCTTCAGTTTGGGGATATGTTAAAACTTGCATTGACATATTTATCTATTTTAAACTTAGATTTGGTAGAATTGGCCTTTTCCTGGTTTTGAGGAAGTATATTCTAGTGCAGGATTTGTCATGTCTTTTCAACTGAGAAAGAGGGATGCTGATCTGAGGGCAGTTATGTGAATGAGGTATTTGAGTGAAATACTTGAGTAACTCCCTTGTTACGTACTGCAGCTACGAAAGCAAAATTATTTAGTCTCATCCTTATGTAGGAGAGGATAGAGAGAATGTCTCCACTGGGCTTGTCTGCTGCAAGAGAGCAAATTACTGATCAGCATCAGCTGTCACGTGCTGCTCAGCTGCCCAGAAGGCTTGTAGGTGGATGGATTTTGAACAGCTTGAAACTTGGGCAGTTTATAAATTGGTGATTTGCTCTTTTATGTGAAGGTCGTGCTGGACGTGTTTCCAAAGGGTATTGTTATAGGCTTATACACAAGGACTTCTGGACAGACTTTATTCCAGAGAAGTCAGTACCTGAAATACTGGTAAGACTTTTGGGGAATATTAAGAGTTTTTTTAATATCTGTGGTCATAGCAGAGACAATAAAAAGAAGTTTTGCTTTACTTCTCATGAAGACAGCATGCGATTTAAATAGTTATTAATAATGGCAACACTGAAAAAAAATCAAGTTGATAAATAATTGAAAAAGACCATTCCACATATTGTTCTTCATAGAAGGAGATGCATTACAGCAGTAAAATGGATGTGGATTAGAAATAAGCAATCTATTCAAAAGAAAAATATCCTTAATTACACAAAATTAATTTCAGGTTTTACTAAATTGTAAACTTTAACTTATTTTTCATATAAAACACTTCCCATGGGGGGAAAGTAACAATAACATTGTCTTCCCTTCAGCGTTGTCCATTGGGAACTACAGTCTTAAAAATAAAAAAGCTTGATATGGGGGCACCAAAAGACTTGCTGGCAACAGCTCTTTCTCCGCCCAGTGTAGGTGACATTGAACGTACCATACTTCAGCTGAAAGAGGTAGGCATTCTTTTCATGTTGTTAAAATCAAGGTAATAAAAATTTATTGTAGAACTGGTTTTCTTGGTATTTAAGGTAGTATTTGCCTTAATTGGAACCTGAAATAGGAATGTTGTCTAGAGAACCTTTTCTCATACTTGACTGTTGTTTGGTTACTGTCCTCCTGAGCATAGCTTCTGCAGTTACTTCATTAAAACAGGATTATAATTTCATCAGGGAGTAATGATACTGTTTGTGAACCTAGTGTCTGTGGTGAGAAAGAATAGGAAAAAAGCAAAAGAATTTGAACTGTAACTGAAATTGTTTTTTAATAAGTAGCAAAATCACACTCTTAAACCTTATGGTGTATAAGGGTCAGGCTGAAGATCCCCTTCTGACCTGTACAAGGAAATTGGTCATTTTGCTTTTCAGTTATAAAGTTGATATGGGGTAGAATATTCCTTGCTTTAAACTTTTTCTTTTCCAAAGTGCATAAGAAATAATATGTGTATCATTTTTAGCTTGCATTTATATTCAGTATATGCAATAACAGGCTTTGGTTTCAAAATACTAGGCTTTTAAAAATGATTTAAGAATTTCAACATAATTGCAGTTTTGATACTAATTGATGTTGCTTTGAGATAATTGTTTGCTTCTTGTCTTGTTTTCTTACAAACTGGTCTTATATTTACTTCACCAACTTTTACAAGTGAATAAATTCTAATTTCTCTAGCTGGGAGCACTTACAACTTGTGTGCAAACAGAAGAAAATCTACATGACGGTGAGCTGACTTTCTTAGGAAAGGTATTGGCACAGTTGCCAGTGGATCTGCATCTTGGAAAATTGATAGTCCTTGGACATGTCTTCGGGTGCTTAGAGGAATGCCTTATTATAGGTAACTGAAAGAAGAACATGTGAGAACATTTCTATAAAAACAAGCGATTTGCAGGTTTTAATTTTTATTTGTTTTTGTTGTAGCTGCAGCACTCTCTCTGCGGAATTTTTTTGCAGTACCTTTCAAACAGCATGTCGATGGATACAGGTATTACCCTATATGTTTTACCACTTCCTGACTATGTTTGGGAGCAGAGGGCTAAGTTGACCACTAAAGATAATTTTTCATGTCATGAGTCTAATTTTCTGTCAAAGTGCCAAGCAGTGCAAAAGGAAGCTTTTCCAGGGCAGCTGAGATACTGAAATCTATTTCTTTGTGAACTAATTAGTATCACAGAGCTAACTCATTTCTGAGTACAAGACAAGCTTTGACTTTATGATGTGAACATGTGGCAGCATCTATTAAAATGGGGTTTTTAAATAATAATAAGAAAATAATCCTTGCTATCCTGCCCACACAGTTTACCTTCAGCAAGGAGATGTGAATAAGAAAAATGTATTGATCTTGTTTATTAAAATCCTGGAAGGTGTTAATACTGTAGCATTCTGAGCTGTATAATACATTCAGTATTTGAAAAAAAAAAATGTTCATAATTCTTTTTATTTGTATTGCCAGGAACAAACTGTTTTTTGCTAGGAATAGTAAGAGTGACTGTATTGCAATTGTGAATGCATTTAAGGTAAGTGGTCTTTCTGGCTTATCTCCCAGTGAAATCTGATAGATTTAGATGGAGCTTTTCATCTTTGTAGGATCAGTTGTTAAAACCTTCACATTACTCCTAGCTACTTAGTGATACTTTTTGAAGGGTGTGTCCTACTGTATAACACCACTAGTTCTGGTGAGTTAATTTTTACCACTGTGAAGGAGCCGCACAACTTTGCATCAAAGTAAGGTGTCAAGGAATAGGTAAAAATGGCTTGCAAGGTTCAGTTTCTGAGTATATCCCCTACTATATAGGGGATACTACTATATAGTCTCCTATGGCTTTTGAGGTATTCATTCTACTAAGCAGATGGAAAACAGCATTGCAGGGTGGAGGAAAAGAGTGAGAGCATGCTGCTTACCTCAGTCTTCTGCTTGCTAGATGTAGGAGCAGATTTTGAACAAGATGGGAACCAGAGGCTCAGGTTCTCTTGACCCCCTGTGATCCTTTCAATAAAGGAGGTGTTTTACATGGGGAGGCAGATTCTTTCCGGTCCAGGAACGTTTACCTGTGTCATTCCCGCTACTATAAAATTGATGTTTCATTGCCTCCAACAGAACAAATGGTGGCTAACTGGTAAGCAGAATGAAGTTTCTGGAATTAATAACTTGAGGTGCTGAAGAAGTTTCTAGTGTAGTATATCTGCTGTCTGTGTGCTACTGAGGATCCCACTGCAGCTGTTACAAATCTTGCTATGAGATTGAAGTCTTCTGAACTGTAATACTTACTGGTCCTGTGCCTTCTCACGCTTCTCTTGATGGTCTGCTTGGTTTATTTTTTTGTGTCTTAATGCTTTGCCTACATCTTTGCTGCTTCAGGACTTCTTTCCAACTGTCTCTGAGTCTTTTTAGGAGGGAATGATAGAAGCCCTGTCATGGACAGCAAGAAATTTGTATTCACTCCAGAGCAGACCTATGTCTTCCAAACTGCGGATGCCCAGAACATAGAGCATTCAATGCTTCAGGACAGTCTTTGATCATACTGAGTTCTGCTTCCTAATAAACCAAACTTTTTTAGGAAAATACCATTTTTGGGAGCCAAAATGTTTTTCATCAACTTTGGGGCTGTTTAAATGGCTGTTGAATTAAAATATGCTTTTTTTTTTTTTAAGAATCAACACAATAAAGCATTTATTAATTTATCTAGCTTGTTTTCTCTTATTTGCACAATTAGCAGTAATCAGGAGAAAATTTCCCTAAGAAAGAGTATATTCTAGTTTTTCCAGAGCGTTCCTTATTTGTTCTGCAATGAAAGTCTTCTCTTTCACTAGTTAATAGTTGTGTGGACAATGTCCCATTTAAGCTCGATAACAGACTTTTTGTTGTTGCAAATACTGATTGATAAAAAAGCACACTGAACTTTTGTGGTGTGAACTTGCTTCAGTCTGCCAGCTAAGAAGATATGCTGCAAATGAGAGCAAGTTCCTCTTTCCTCTTATCTGTACTGTTTTGCTTCAGGTCAGCTTATTATCTATATAGGCTTGCCATGTTTGTAAATGAATGTTAGTATCAGCTTAAAGCAGGACTGAGTGTTTTGTTTCGGGCTGTGAATGTTAATAATCTGATGACTCTCCATCTTTTCCAAAAATACTGTAGCA